TGTCTTTGGACCAGAAATTAATTAGGTCATTGCCATTTTCAAGCATAAGGTTCCAGGCAACAGTAAAATCTTACTAAGAAATAATGGGACAGGTTTAGAGGAAGGGACTTGACCTCCCCTGACTCCCAGACAGGATGGAGAAGTCAAGAAAATGCAGGCTTATAAAGTAGCAATGGAGTCCTGGTGTGGTGCTACAGAATAAGCGCTGGACTCCTCACTGAAAGGTCAGCAGTTCAAACATACCAGCTGCCTTCAGAAACCCCATACTGGGTCACTATGAACTGGGATCAACTTGATAGCCCATAACAATAACTAAGTCTTAATAAAACAATTCCACACGTGACCCTCACACTGTTGCTCAGATTCCTCCAAGTCTCTCACCCCAAACTCTTTTCTCTACAATACCATAGTGCTTCGAATGTGAGATGCTTTATTTTTAAAAATCCCTGTTAGAAGACTTAATTAAAAATTTAAAAAATTAAAAAGCACTGGAACCAAATAAATTTAACACTGCATACATAATTACTGATGATGAACAAGGAGCATTAGCATAGTAAAGACTTCCAATAAGTCTTGCCATGAAGAAATCCACTTCATTTGATTTAATCTGTTGTTATGTGCCCACCAGATGATTTCTACTCATAATGCCCCTAGGGCCCTTAAGGCAGAGCAGAGCTTCCCAAGAGGGTTTCCACTGGCTGGAATCCTTTTGAGAGCATATCACTGGGTCTCTTCTCTCTTGGAGCCTCTGGTGGGTTCAAACCAAGAACTTTTAGGATACCAGCTGAGCACTTAACCACTGTACCCCAGGGTTCCTTTTGCTAAACTGAACATTTCCCATATCTATCGTATTGTGTGTTTTGTAACCTGAGGAACAAGTTTTCCAGGGAAAACTTTGGAAAATTAGTTTTTATAGCTTGGCACAGTACGCTCGTTCATAGATGAGAGAAAGTCAACAGAAACCAAGGTAGCCAAAAGAGGGGTGTGTTTTTTTGTACTGGAAAGAATTCTTGGGTAGAGTGGGTGGTTCACGCCTCAATTAGTCCCAATTCTGAGGCGCATAACCCAAGTGAGTTATTCTTTTAATTTATTCTTGATAATAGAACACCAGCCAATCAATCAATCAACACTTATTAACTGTCAACTGAACTCAGTGCTTTTCCAGGAATACAATTACGTTACAATAAATGAAAACCACCAGGTTGAAGAATATTTCTTTCATTGCTTTAGATTTCTTGTGAGTCTGACCTATTCTTTACATCATTTCTACAAACTACTTGAAAATTTAGCTCATGGGGGGACCTTACACAGCATGAGAGGAATTACTAAATAACTCAATGAGACAGTACTTAATAACCTGGGGACTGGCTGGTATTTTTGTTTTATTGCTTGATTTTATGGCTTGTGTGAACTAAAATTAAAATTCCCAAACCCTTTGTCACTGTAAAAATCAATCCAAGGTTGTCGTTCAGAAGCAAAATAGCTCTTTTCTCCTCCCAAATTTCTTTACCCTAATGGCTGCTCTCTTCCATCAGCAGCAAAGTAGGGGGTAAGACTAAAACTGAAAGAGGCTCATTAATTTCAAATATCAAATTACTGGATGATTTGGGCATTCCACGGCTTAGCCCTGTTTTTTAATTATTAGTGGCAACAGAACGCACAATTTATAATTACATTTATTCCACAGTTTGATAAAAGAATAATGACGGGGGAGAGACTACACACTACTGCACCCTCAGTTCTGCAGTTTTTGATGTGCTCTTTAAGGGACTTCCTGTGGGGAGAAATTGGAGTGAGGTCGCCATCTAGCGGTTGATATTCAAAACATGCTGCAAATAGCCTTGTCCTTGACTTGACTGTAATGTGCTCAGAGGGGTCAACAAGTGATGTGGGACTCTCCAAAGTAGCATCTCTTTGATAATTACTCACGAAAGACTGTGGAGTCTAAACTTTAGAACCCTTTTTACATCACTTTGTTTACTTTTGCTACACAGAGCAATGTTATTGTTCAGGAGCTATGGGATAATGAACTGAACCTCAAGTTGGGTTTGAACTGCATGGTCGGTGGTTCAAATTCACCAGCCACTCCTTAGAAACCCTATACAGGGTGGCTCGACAGCACTTAACGACAACAACAACAACACAGTTCTGTCACTAAGCTATGCTACACACAAATGCGGTGTTTGGATTATTACTGTAATTCTGTTTGTCTTTGCTTTTAGTGGGGGAGGTGGGCATTGTAGGCCACCTGTTGAAATGTACTCCCCAGTTCCCTCAAAACTCATTGAATTTTATTTTCCTTATAAGATAAACTTCCTGCTTCTTAAGATGGGTTGTGAATTCTAGCAACCTGCTTGAAGTGTTGGAATAATGAGGACCTCTGGAATTCTATGAGCATGGATTTGATGTTTAATTTCATGCTCCTGTGAGTTTCACATCCGCCTTCTGTCAAATGACATAAGAACACTTGCAAGGTTATTATGAAGTGAGGGGAGCTGATACATGGGAGGCAGGAAAGACTACATTGTGTTTTGTGGGTGCTGTGTGTGATTGACATGCCTCTTTGTTTTGAGACTCTCCTCCCAGCTCTCTCTCTCTCTCTCTCTCTCTCTCTCTCACAAACACACACACACACACACACACACACACACACACACACACACACTATAATTCCTGGCTGTAGAAGTTCAGCCTCACATTTACAAAGTTAAAATGTAAGAAGCCAAGATTTCTCCTCAGCCTTTGCAGTAAAGAGGGTCTTATAAACAATACAAGTTAAAGTTTAAAAAATGAGGAAATAAGTGAAAAGAAACAATATATATATATATCCCAAAGGCATAAAATACAGCTGTGATCATACTTTTAATGACAAAGATTATACTAAACCCAAAGGCTCTTCCTTAAATGGAACTGTTGTATTTCTGGACTGTTGTCCTCAGGGCAGCACTGTAGCGATGGGTCTCATGTGGTTTCATTGGACCAGGCTTGGGGATGTTGAGGGATTTTCCCAATATCATGCAGAGATTAGGATTAGAGCTCTGGGTTCTTGATAGCAGCAGGATTCTCTCTAATACTCTCTAATACAATTTTCTCTTGTTGAGTATATTTGTACCCCAGGTTTTCATGTTGTACATGGACAAGAGTTCTGTTTCACAAGAGTTGTGTACTGCTCTAAACTATCGGAGTGTAGACTTATCTATAGGATGCAGCATGTAAAATGACACTTGGTACACCCTTTCCTCCCATTGCCATCAAGTTAATCCTAACTTGTAGCAATCCCATAGGATAGATCAGAACTGCTCTCTATTTCTAAAGCTGCATCTTTCTCTCATGGAGTGGCTGCTGGGTTCAAACTACTGACCTTTCGGTTAGCAGCCAAGCACTTCAACACTGTGTCATGAGAACTCCTTTCTCCCATCTTACAACCCACTGCCTTGAAGTTGATTCTGACTCAGATACCCTCTAAGGCCAAACAGAACTGCCTCGGAGGGTTCTGAGGCTGAAACTCTTTATGGACGCAGACTGCTCATCTTTCTCCTGCGCGGTAACTGCTTAAGTGTTTGGCTGCTAACCACTGACCTTTCGGTTAGCAGACAAGCACTTAAGCATGATGCCAACACGGCACCTTTCTCCCATTCTACACCTCACCAATTACATTCATCCAAATCCTGGCTGAAAGCTAAACCATTTCCTAAACCACTCCTGAGTTCCCTAGTTCCAAACTGGTTATTTTCTCTTATGATTGACAATGGCAGTTTTAATCATCCAAGTTACATTCCCATTATATAGTCTTGTCTTCTTTCCAAACACCAGTATCCTATTTAATCAACTATATTGGTTCACTAATTAAATTAATAGGTAATTCCATGTGCCTCCTTTTCATATTTAACAATCCTAGCATTCTGTTAAGGAGCTCTGGCAGCGTAGTGGTTACGAATCCGGCTGCAAACCGCAAAGTCAGCAGTTCGAAACTATCAGCTGTTCTGTGGGAGAAAGATGAGGCTTTCTGCTCCCGTAAAGATTTACAGCTTCGGAAACCCTCTACAAGGAAACAACTCCAAGGCACATAACAACAACAACAACAACAAGCATTCTGTTGGCTTGTAACAGGTTCTCAGGAATTACGTATTGATTGGGTGGGAATTTGAATGTTCCTTTATGTTTGTACACATTCATCCATTTCCTCATTCTTCACCTAGAATGTAAATTCACCAGGCCAAAGACTCATCTGTTTATTCACCATTATATTCCCAATAACTTTCAAAACAGTGCTCAGCACAGAGTGGACAATTAATCATTATTAAAATTTAAAAAATTTACTAACCTAAACCTTATTTATTAATGGCACTTTCTCAGCATAATGCACCATTACAAGTATTTACTTTTACCTATGTTGGTGGTGGTGGTAGAGGCTTTGAGTTGACTTCGCCTCATAGTAACTCCATGTGACAGAGTAAGATGTCCCTGTAGAGTTGCTAGGCTTTCCAGGCCTTTCTCCCGTGGCTTCAAACTGTCAACCTTTCAGCTAGCAGCCGAGCACTTAACCATTTGTGCTACCAGGGCTTGTACTTTTGCCTGTGATGATCTGCATTTCTGCTTTATCTGTCCTCTCTTCTCTTCTAAAGAGGGGACGAACTAGAACTTGGAAAGCCAACTGGCATGTGATTTTTGAAAGGCTGATTAACACAATGATCAGCAGAACCCTCCCTCTGTTCTCCAGACATGAATGCTCTACCTGAGGAGAGAGGTTCATACAGATTTAATGAGAGCTGTGGGTCATTTCTATGATACAATGCTCTAAAAAAGGATTTATGAAACTATACAAGGAGGTCCCCTTAAGAGTGCCTGAGCTTGTCAACAGAAGATCTGACCTGTGAGTTCAGTTATGCAAAATAGAAAGTTGGGAGGGGGGTGTGGGAAACAACAAACCTTTTCCTCACTGACAGACCAAGAGGATAATGAGAGCATAAAGAGAGAAATGTCACCGCAGTCATACTCACCCTCGGCGACATCATCATCCACCGTTAACTTAAGGTTCTTCCCTCTGCGCACCACCCGAACGGTGTGCCATTCATTGTCATTAAGCTTCTGCCCCGCATACAGGGTCTCAGGTCCTTTGCCTATGGATGGTGGTAAGGGCCAAAGTTAGAATCCATTCTAGAAGTGTCACTCATGGCATCCGGTTGTCAAAGCCACACTGGTGCACATAACCCAGTAGCACCCAAAGAACCATATCTCATCTAAAACTCATCCTGGCTTCACTAGCCCAATGGCCCTCCATAATAGTTCCCCCAAAAGTCTTAGTGAAAGCATTGTAGATGGCTTAGTCAAAGTAGTAAGTGCCCTTCTCTATCTTTAGATACAAGATTCTTTTTATTCAGTTCAAATGGCAATCAGTGAACATTTCAGACAACAGTTGTCGGTTTTCATTTTGTTTCCCATACTCTTAAAATTCATATGAATTTTTTGAAGACACAAGAAATTGTAAAGTTTTGAGAATCACTTAGTCATTTAGGCATAATACACCAGTCTGGCTTTTAGAGCGTATCCACCGGTTGGGTGAGAAAAAACCTCAGCACTTTATACTTTGTTAACCTGATATTTCCATTAACCCATGGTCCTACTGCCCACAGAACTCATAAAGGCTAGGTTTAAACCCCAGTATACATAATGCTCCTGAAGGGAATACAATGGGCCCCAGACTGAACTCATTGTTCTTCAACCTCCAAAAAAGATCCAAGACTTAAAAACAAAATAATATTAAATTCCACATTGAACTTTTTTAGGTCATAAGAACAATTCTATAGAAAGGGCAACCACATAAAGAAGTAAGAAAATTGTCTCAAGATATCCATGCTTAATGGGATCAAGATGATGTTCAAGTGCTCCCTACAAAAAATCAAAATGAAAAAGGATAATTTGATTGAGGGGGTGACAGGAGACAAGATAGAGAAGCAATCGCGTTATTAAGGTAAGGAAGATCAATGCCTTGGTAAGTTAGAGTGCAGATCATCACTGAAAAGACAAAGAAGGTAGCACAGAAGCAGAGGACTTATACATCAAGTGTGCTCTCTAGCTGGATGGCTGATGTCTCTATCAGATGTTGCTGTTTAATTCTTTCCGGATCAATCAGTGTATTGAAAGTCCTGTCTCTGAAGATGAGAAAACCAATGATGAAATATGTAACTGCACAGCGCACCAACATGGATATTGGTGGTGGTAATGTGCCATGGAGTCGGTTCCAACTCATAGTGACCCTGCATAGGGTTTCCAAAGCTGTAACTCTTTACAGAGGCTGAAAGCCTCATCTCTCTCCTGCAGAATGGCTGCTAGTTTTGAACTGCTGACCTTGAGGTTAGCAGCCTGACTCATAATCACTATGCTACCAGAGTTCCTTAACGGGACGATTGTAAATATCCTGAAATATTACAGAAGAGCAGATGATAGGCTCCCCAACATCTATCAACTAACAGCATTTACCAATCCCCAGGGGCTGATGATGCATTACAAGTGGCTGCTAAATGTTTGTTGAAGAACAGATGACTATATAGGTCTGCATTTCTTTGGAAACCATCAATGTATACAGTTTTTCATCTAAGTAGAAAGCTTTATTATACAAATATCATTAGATACTATTTTCACTCCTCTCCCACAGGACTGACATTATATACTGTATATTATATACTGTGGTGTGCCACTGAGTCATTTCCAAGGCTGCAAGTTTTTATGGGAGCAGAAAGTCTCATCTTTCTCCTGAGGAGCAGCTGGTAGATTTGAACCACTGACACTGTGGTTAGGAGCCCAATTCTTAACCCACTACACTAGCAGGTAGCCTTATGTACTGTTTAGAGGAAGGAAGAAGAAAAATGTACCACGTGCATGGTGGTGGTGGTGGTTATGTGCCATGAATAGGTTCCAACTCATAGAGACCCTGTATAGGGTTTCTGAAACTGTAAATCTTTACTGGAGCACAAATGTCATCTTTCTTCCTAGGAGTGGATGGTAGTTTTGAACCTTGAAGTTAGCATCTTGACTCTCACCCACTCTACTACCTGAGCTCCTTATCACCTGCATTGTTGTTGTTGTTGTTAAGTACCATGGAGTCGGTTCCTACTCATAGTGACCTTACAAAGGGTTTCCGAGGCTGTAAATCTTTACGGGAGCAGACCGCCTCATCTTTCTCCTGCGGAACCACTGGTAGTGTCGAACTGCCGACCTTGAGGTTAGCAGCCTGATTCGTAACCACTACCAAAGTTCCTTTATCACCTGCAATAGGGACCTTTTAAATCAGGTAATTCTAAACTGAAAAAACAAAAGTTTCCTTGAGTCTCAATGTGGTACAAGTGGTTAATGAGCTCAGCTGCTAAGCAAAAGTTGATGGCTTGAGTCTACCCAGAGGTACTTTAGAAGAACAACCTGGTTATCTACCTCCAAGGAGTCCTGGTGTGGCACTGCAGAGGAAGGCCCTGGACTACAAGATTGGTCTGAATTGCAAGGTCAGTGGTTCAAACTCACCAACTGCTCCTTGAAAATCTTATACAGGTCGCCATGAGTCTGGATGGTAGTTTTGAACCATCTAAAAACTCACTGCAAATTCACTGGCTTCATTTTAATCTGCATTTTTAAGTTTTAGTCATTAGCATTCCTGTAGTGGGTTTGTAAAAGGTTATGGTAGCAGTTCACATTTGGGTAAATTTTTCTCTTGAAAACACTTAACTAATTTTCAAAGTATATGGCATATCATTTGAATCTTCTCAGAATGTACCCTCTATCCCAAAAGCAATCCAAATTCACAAGAATTTGGAGAATTCAGTATAACCAAATACACCCAAAATGAGGTCATGATGGCATGTGATCAATGAATTTTAGGGAAAAATATACTTTCATAGTAGACTATTTTATGTTTTATCTCACTCTGCTTTGATAAGGAATCTTGGTGGTGTACTGGTTACACATTGAGCTGCTAACTGCAAGTTCAATAGTTCAAATCCACCAGCTGCTGTAAAATGAAACTTTTTTCTCTCCTAAAGATTATGGCCTTGGAAACCCTCTACAGGGTCACTATGAGTTGAAATTGACTGGGTACAATGACCCCCACTAACACCCCTATTTTGTGAGTATGTTTGCCATTTACATTTCTACTATGTCAATAAAATTGGAATTTTCCCTCCAATTGTGGCACTGTAGGATAAACACTGGACTGCTAACCAAGGTTGGGGGTTCAAACTCACCACCTTCTCCTCAAAAACCCTACACAGGGTCACTATAAGCTGTAACCGACTTAAGGGCATTTAGCAGTTACAACATCTCTTCATACTCAGGCCTGACAGTGATGTGATAGTCACCTTTACAACAGTGAGGGGTCTGGGAAGAAAGGGTTAACATTTTGTGGGTTCTTTGAGTAAAAAACAGATGTTCTAAGAGAAAAGAAAAGCTGTCACTGTGTGTGTGTTTGTGTTTATGTTTTTATTCACTTTATTTGATATCCTAATGCTTCACAAAGAACAAAAGAAGTAAGAAAAGATGTGAAGAACACTAACTAGAGGCAGAACTGTGACAAACACAGGCTATTTAAAACGTTTTCTCTAAGGTGGCATCTGTTCTTGCAGCAATTTTTGTACATCACTTAATTTTTATGATTAGGAACAAGCTAAGAGGAAAAATGGCTAACCCAAACACAGCTAGGTTTAGGACACACTGTTATCGGTGTCATATTAGACACAGCCATGTGATATAAGCTTAGCCCAATTTGTTTTAGATGCTGCTCATGATTCCTTCCCATGGTATCCTTGAAGTGCCAGTTTCATCAGAATCAAAAAAAATATGGAACTTTCCATTTGATTCTAAATTAAGATGTGATGGTCTACCACCGAAGACGTGAGAAAAATAACAGAAACCTCTCATGTTCCACTACTTAGTTATATCTGATATTCCAACTCCAATAATTCTCTAAAAGTTGAAGATTCATACACATCTCATCAGAATGGCAGACGATAAATATTACTGAACATTCACTTCCAAGAAGCAAATAAATACAGTTCATTGAGCTTTTGGAAAACTTTCAGGGCACAGAAGTCAGTAGTCAATGGTATTTCTCTTTAATCAAGCCAAAAGGTCAACTCATCCAATGCAGCACGAAAGGGATGTTTAAACTCAGCTGGAAACGTAGGCAAATGGAGGGAAGAAGCACGTCTAATCCCTAACGCAGTGATGTAAGATGCAGACTCAAGCTGAAAGTTGGAGCATCTAGCTGTTAGATTTCAAAGTAGGAGGATCTAGCACAGAAAAACCTTTCTCTGACAGACTCAAGCACAAAGCCCCTAGGCAGCAACAGTGAAACAATAAAGATAGAATAATTTCACGCTACATAAAAGTAGCCCAGATAAGAGGAGGGAGGAAATCTTTTTTTTTTTTTTTTAAGTTGGGAGTTAAAATAAAACTGGAAGAAACTGAAAAAAATGAAAATAAATAAATAGATAAACTAAAAGCTTTCAATTTTCCTGTTCTCTTTTTTTGTTTTTTTAACAGCTCAGAGAATATGATACACAATTGGATGTATATGAAACGCATGCATGAGCTGCAGTTTCCATTTTTCTATAGTTTAATTAAGAAATATTGATCATAAAACAATCTGATCCCGCATAGATTGATTACACCGTCCCTGTTCCATCTAAATATAGACTAGTTAATTATCTGATACCACTGGGAGGGATTTCCCAGGAAATGACACCCATGTCTGAAGCAAAGAAGCACAATTTCACATCAAGTTTTCTGGGATGTGAATGTGGATAGAAGCGGAGTTACTACTGTAGAACAGAGAGCCCTGATGCCCATGTGTGATCTAGTCTCAGTTCAACTCATTTAAGAAAGCACATGGTGGAAGAACACTGATAGGATGTTTTCTTGTCTTGTCCCATAGTTGCCTGTGGAGGTCTCATTTTTTTAAGAAGCCAGTGTTAATAAGAGAATTAAAAGGAAAATTAGAAGGAAAGTTCTAGTTGAGAGTAAATCATTGCTGATTGCTTGGAAGTAGATGATACTCAAATTAACAGTAGATTCCTCCCCCCAAAAAAACACCTTTTTAGTTACTAGGGAATGGGAGTATGTGGTCAAAACCTAC